GTGTGGAGCCTACTTGGGATTGTCTCTCTCTCTCTCTCTCCCTCTTTCTCCTTCCCCCCTCTCCCGTTTGTGCTCTATCTCTCTAGAATAGAATAGAGTAGAGTAGTTTATAGCAGCACTATCAATAATAGCCAAAGTATGGAAAGAGCCCAAATGTCCATCGATGGACAAATGGGTAAAGAAAATGTGGTATGTATACACACACACACACACACTAGAGTATTACTCGGCAATCAAAAAGAATGCAGTCTTGCTATTTGCAACTATGTGGATGGAACTGGAGGGTATTATGCTAAGTGAAATTAGTCAGTCAGAGAAAGACAAAAATCATATGGTTTCACTCATATGAGGGCTTTAAGAGATAAAACAGATGAACATAAGGGAAGGAAAACAAAAATAATATAAAAACGGGGAGGGGACAAAACAGAAGAGACTCATAAATATGGTGAACAAACTGAGGGTTACTGGAGGGGTTGTGGGAGGGGGGATGGGCTAAATGGGTAAGGGGCACTAAGGAATCTACTCCTGAAATCATTGTTGCACTATATGCTAACTAATTTGGATGTAAATTTAAAAAAAGAAAAAAAAGAATGACTATTAAAAGAAAAGAATAAAATAAAGGCATCTGTATGGCTCAGCTGGTTAAGGGCCCAACTCTTGGTTTTGGCTCAGGTCATGATCTGTTTGTGAGATCAAGCCCCATGCTGGACTCTAGGCTTAGAACTTGCTTGGGATTCTCTTTCTCTCTCTCTCTGCCCCTCCCCTACGCTTGCACACCACCCCCCCTCAAAATAAATAAACTTAAAATATATATATTTAAAATAAGAGGTTGACAAGATGTGGCCTGACTTGTGTCACCTGCAAGCTAAAAATGGTTTTTATACTTCTAAAGGATTGTGAAAACAGAAAAAGCAACAGAGACCATAGGTGCCCCGCCAAGCTTAAAACTTTTATTGTCTGGCACTTTACAGGAAAAATTTGCTGACACACGTTCTAAAAGTTAGGGGATTTCATCCTAGCTGGGGTTTCAGGCTTTAGGACATAAGGTCCAGTTCTCATTCTCTATCTTTCACTATTTCAACTAAAAATATGCAGTGAGGGGCACCTAGAGCCACAGTTTTTGATCTTGGGGTCATGAATTCGAACCCCATGTTGGGCATAGAAATTACTTAAAAAGGGGAGCCTGAGTGGCTCAGTCGGTTAAGCGTCTGACTTCGGCTCAGGTCATGATCTCACAGTTCGTGAGTTCAAGCCCCACGTCGGGCTCTGGGCTGACAGCTCGGAGCCGGGAGCCTGCTTTGGATTCTGTGTCTCCCTCTGTCTGCCCCTCCGCTGCTTGCACTCTGTCTCTTGCATTGTCTCAAAAATAAATAAAAACATTAAAAAAATTTTTTTTTTTTGCAAAGAAATTACTTTACAAAAATGCAGTGAATACAGAATGTGTAGATTTCTCCTTTGAGATCCTCTGACCGGGTCTCCCCATCTGCACTCAAAGCCAAACAGGCTTTGTTCAGTGAGTAAGGGACTTGGGACGGGGCTGCTTCCATAACTCTTCTGCCAGGGCTGCCAAATGCAACAAATTCGGACCTGGTTAAGGGCTCATCAGATGTGCTGTTCCCTCAGAAGGCCCAGGAGGTTTACCTAAAATGGGCCAAAAGAGCTTGTTAGAACAAAGGTTTTGGTGATTGTCTCTGAATCTTGTTCTCTCCTCTCAGCCCTGAGTACTCCCTGTTTGTGGGGGACCTGACCCCAGACGTGGATGACGGCATGCTGTATGAATTCTTCGTCAAAGTCTACCCCTCCTGTCGGGGAGGCAAGGTGGTTTTGGACCAGACAGGCGTGTCTAAGTAAGACCTCATTGGTTACTGATGCCTACCCCGTTCCAGCATTTGTGTTTTGGATGGAAATGTTAGAGCAAGGCCATGGAGTACGGTGGTTAAGAGCATACGCTCTGGAGCTGGACGTTCTGGTGTGAACCCTCACTCCAATACTGGCTGGGGATAATGTGGTAAACAAGTCACTGAAGCTCTGACCCTGTTTCCTCATCTGTGAAACAGATGCTGTTTGATAGTATCTGTTCATAGGGCTGATGTCAGAGTTACATGATGTGATATAAATAAAGCAATAGGATAGGCGTTGTAGGTGTTTGCCATTTTATTTATTAGTGTTACTTCAAAAGTGGAAAAACCTCAAGAAAGGCTTATTCTTGATCAGAGTAATAGTTATAAGCCTGAGGTTGAGTTACAAGCTTGGGACCTTGATCTGAATCCTGATTCTCCAGTGATGTCAGGCAAGTTATGAACCCCTCTGACCTCAGTTCCCTCCTCAGTAATCTAATCGTTGGGCCGTTTGATGAGACGCTCAGCACGGTGCTGAGAAATAAAAAGTGCTCATGAAATGTTCACTATCGTTCGTTGATCCCCCAAGTAGAATATGAGTCCAGCAGAGCAAGAACCTTGTCTGCTTAGGACTGCTGAGCCCCAGTGCCTAACACCATACCTGGCCAACAGGGCAGACGGAGGAAGTATTTGCTCAGTGAACTTCTACGGCTGTTACTACTACCATACTGATGATAATAGTATTTCCAGTAGATTGGGTGGGAGGCCTCTGTTTGGGAAGGAGCCCCATCAGTGAAGGCGTGGAGGGGAACGGTGAACTAAAGTAGGGATTCCCCCAGATCTCAGGATCCTCCAGCACTGGAATCTTGAATTGTTCTACCTACAGCATGCCTTCACTGATGGGGATCTCATCCCTTCCTACAGAGTTTGAGGGACTCTCTCTCTTTTCTGTTTTTAAACTTTACCTTCATCACATTTGTGATCTAAATAGTGTGTCTGCTTTTGTTTCCTACAGGGGCTATGGTTTCGTGAAATTCACAGATGAACTGGAACAGAAGCGAGCTCTGACTGAGTGCCAGGGAGCAGTTGGCTTAGGGTCTAAACCAGTTCGGCTGAGTGTGGCAATCCCCAAAGCGTGAGTCGTCGTGCACTGGCGGGAAGGTAGAGAGCCTCTGGACTGATGCCAGCCTGGACGCTCCTCATCTGCTTGGTGATAATGGGAGCTTCCGCATGCTGGACGTGAGACTGCAGGGAGGCATAGTTTAGGTCACAGATAATGAGTGCCTATTACTTGCTAGGCTGTGTTCTGGGCATTGGAGATGAAGGAACATAACCCTGCCCCTCCAGAGAGCTCTGACTGGTGAAGGCACATACATTCAGACATGGCTGGTAGCAGTGCTGGGAAAGCAGTTGGGCTCTGCATTCTCCCATGTGCTTGCTCTTTGCCCCGTAGTGTCACCATTAGAGATTTATCCACAGAACTGATGAGAATTGAGCAGAAGGAAAGATATTATACCCAGTTTTAACTATGGGAATAGCTAAGAGGGAATGATCCTAAACACTACAGAATATTATGTACATCACTATCATACCTGTCATGCCAGTCAGAGAGCCCTTCTTCCCTTACAACTCCAAGCAGGTTTTTCACTCAGAAGACAACTGCTCTCTGCATAGAATCTTCTATCCTTTGGCCAAAGCAGTGGTTCTCAGCTGGGGACAATTTCATCCCACAGCGGGACATTGGCAACACCTGGAGACAATTTTGGTTGTCACAACTTGTCGGGGAGGACATCTAATGAGTGCAGGCCCGGGATGCTACTAAATGTCACACAATGCACAGGCCGGCCCCACCCGAAAGACTTGTCTGCCTTGCCCCCAAGTCAATAATGTGAAGGCTGAGGAAGTCTATGCCATGAGTGGCAGAATGGCTACATTCTTGGGGCAGAACTTCCAAATGGCTAGGTTTTTCTGTCTTTTTTTTTTTTTTTTTTTCCATTGGGTTCTAGTCCTAGGCTGCCAGTTTTCTTTTTCTTTCTTTCTTTCTTTCTTTCTTTCTTTCTTTCTTTCTTTCTTTCTTTCTTTCTGTTTTTTTTAATGTTTATTTACTTTTGAGAGAGACAGAGACAGAGTGTGAGGCAGGGAGGAGCAGAAGGGAGACAGACTCTAAGCAGGCTCCAGGCTCTGAGCTATCAGCATAGAGCCTGACGCAGGGTTTGAACTCATGAACAGGCGATCATGACGTGAACCGAAGTCAGACACCTAACCGACTGAGCCACCCAGGTGCCCTTCTCTCTCTCTTTCTTTTCTTTTTTTTTTTTTAATGTTTTATTTATTTTTGAGAAAGCCCAAGTGGGGGAGGGGCAGAGAGTGAGAGACAGGATCTGAAGGGGCTCTGTGCTGACAGCAGTGACTCCATGTGAGGCTTGAACTCATGAACCGTGAGATCATGACCTGAGCCAAAGTTGGGCACTAACCGACCGAGCCACCAGGGTGCCCCTAAATGGCAAGGTTTTTCAAAGCAGCAAAAGATTTGGAGGTTCTTTGTAGCTTAACTGTATTTAATACATGGAAGATCAGTTTGAGTAATTTCCCCTCAAAATGTTATTCTATACTATATAAAACATTACAGAAAATATTTAAAAGAAATTTACTCATTATCCTAAAATGACTAATTATGATTTCTGACTTCCAAAGTTTACTTATTTATTTTGAGAGAGAAAGAGAGCTCTTGCGAGGGAGGAGCAGAGAGAGAGAGAAAGAGAGAATTCCAAGCAGGCTCTGAGCCACCATTGTAGAGCCGGATGAAGGGCTCAAGCCCAAGAACCATGGCCCATGACCTGAGCTGAAACCAAGAGTTGGATGCTTAACGAACTGAGCCACCCAGGCACCCAGTGTTTATTCATATTTTAAAAATATTTATTTATTCATTTATTTTGAGAGAGAGAGAGAGAGAGTGTGTGTGTGTATGTGCATGCCCACGAGGCAGTGGGGGGAGGGGCAGAGGGAGAGAGAGAGAATCTTAAGCTGGCTCCATGCCCAGCTTGGAGCCTGACACGGGACTTTATCTCACAACCATCAGATCATGACCTGAGCTGAGATCAAAAGTCAGATGCTTAACCAACTGAGCCATGCAGGCACCCCTCTTTATTCATTTTTAATTACAGTAACAGTGCTCATTCTTTTTCCCCCAGTTTCCCTCATATACACATTCCCTTTCCAACATAGCTGTACAATCCTCACCATAATATTTTTTTTATTTAAAAAAAAAAAATTTTTTTTTTAATGTTTATTTATTTTTGAGACAGAGAGAGACAGAGCATGAATGGGGGAGGGGCAGAGAGAGAGGGAGACACAGAATCGGAAGCAGGCTCCAGGCTCTGAGCCATCAGCCCAGAGCCTGACGCGGGGCTCGAACTCAGGAACCGTGAGATCGTGACCTGAGCTGAAGTCGGACGCTCAACCGACTGAGCCACCCAGGCGCCCCCTCACCATAATATTTTTAATAGCTTCAGGGTATCTTGACCATATATTCTGCCTCAAGGTTCCTCAGATGTTGACGTTGTTGGTTGTTTCTGACGTGTTACCATTTATTCAGTCAACAATAACCGAGTTCCTACAACTCTGTGGGCCCTGACCTAGACTTTGGAGTTGTAGCTGTAAACAAGAAAAACAAAGTGCCTTCTGCAAGGAGGTTATGTTCTGTTCCATTTCCTGGCTGGTCATTGTCAGAATTTGGGGCCTGCCTCTAGGGAGGCGCTATCAAGCACTGGGAATTGAGGGTGGTAAGGGTTCTCTTTGAGAATTCATCTGTAAGAGCTGAGTGTGGAGAAACAGAGCAGAAGTGTACAGACCCAGGCCAGGGAGATGACCTTCAATTATGTGAATATATCAGGAGGGTGGCAGACTCCTTGAAAACATGTCAGGGTAGTCACGGAGGGGAGCATTAGCAGTTTCCAGCCTCACGCCGGGCAGGGAGAGGAAGTCTCTGCCACTAGACTTCATCCGGCCACCCCATCAGGAGGTGATGCTAAGAGAGTCAGACATGGAGTTGTCTAACTGCTCTAGCCGAGTCCTGCTCACCAAGCAGATGTTGCACTCGAAAACAACTCTCGCTCATTCAGACTTTGAGAACTTGTGGTTCCTGTGACAGGATTGCTGTGGTAGTTCACCTCCTGCTTATGACTTGGTTTCCTCTCTGGCTTCACTGTGGAGATAGAATACACTAAGCATGAGGACGTGAGTGCATTCCACACCACGTGGCAGTTACAGTTCTCCTTATAAGCCAGCCAGCGGGTGGTGTGGGCCTCTGCCTCCTGCGTATTTGGTGTGCACTTATGAGTCTGGCTCTCAGGAGTGTGATGACTCTGGAAGCACATTGCCATGTTGTTCTTTTGATTCCTCCCACCTCGGACTGGTCATACCCCAGGCCTGTCTCATAAGCCTACTCACACATGATTGTGTATATTTTTGAGAGCAGTGGATCCTTTTCAAGCTTGACATTCTGTCTTTGGTTAGCAGTGGCTAGGGTAGCCATGCAAGCAGGAGAAGAAAGCTGCCCACTGAGCCTGGGCCTCAGCCCTGATTTGTGAGTGCAGGATATAGGAGCCTGGCAAGATGTCTTACATCTGTCAGAGCAGGTACTGTAGGTAACAGTGTGGTGTTCAGAGCATGAGCCTTGGAGCTGAATTTGGCTCCAGTCCTAGGTGTGGCCTTGGGTAAATCACTTAATCTTTTAGAGGCTCAGTATTCTCATCTGTATAATGGGAAAAATACATAATAGCTCTGCCAAAGGGTTGTGTGAGACTTAAGATAGGAGACTGTATATGAAAAACAACGGGCCCAGATCCTGAGTACCTACTCCGTAATAGTAGCTGTGACTACAGTGGTGCCGCTAAGCCTACTGGACCTTCTGGAACACTTGTTTCGTGTGTGTGTGGAGAAGAGGTGATTAGACATTTTGTAGTTGACAAGCTTCTTGGATCATCCTAAATCCAGATTTTCCAGGCCTTGTTCACCTGAGCCTTTGTGGGTGGCAAAAAACCAGCCCCCCAAGATCTTGGTAAGAGGACAAGTCAGTACTGACAAGATTTGATAAGAGAGACAAACCTAACCATTAAAACTCTTGACTGTAGGGGCACCTGGGTGGCTCAGTCGGTTAAGGTTTGATTCTTGGTTTGAGCTCAGTTTTTGATGTCACAGTTTCATGAGTTCGAGTCCCCCTGTCAGGCTCTGTGCTGGCAGTGTGGAGCCTGCTTGGGATTCTCTCTTTTCTCTCTCTTTCTGTCCCTGCCCGACTCGTGCTCGCTTGCTCTCTCTCAAAATAAATAAATAAACTTAAAAAAAAAAATTAAAAGCAAAAACAAAACTCCTGACTGTAAAGCCTGGGCTCTGAAGCCAGATTGCCTGGGTGTGGATCTCCTATTAGCTATGTGGCTTTGGACAAATGATGTGGCCTGTATGTACCTCAATTTCCTCATCTAAAATAAGAATAATGTAGGGGCGCCTGGGTGGCGCAGTCGGTTAGGCATCCGACTTCAGCCAGGTCACGATCTCGCGGTCCGTGAGTTCGAGCCCCGCGTCAGGCTCTGGGCTGATGGCTCGGAGCCTGGAGCCTGCTTCCGATTCTGTGTCTCCCTCTCTCTCTGCCCCTCCCCTGTTCATGCTCTGTCTCTCTCTGTCCCAAAAATAAAATAAAAAACGTTGAAAAAAAAATTTAAAAATAAAATAAGAATAATGTATTGTTCTTACATAAGGTTGTCGTGGGTTTTGAATGAGTTGATATGTGGAAAGCACTTAGAACAGCCCCTGGCCACATAGTAAGAGTTATGGAAACGTTTGTCTACATTTGTTTCTTTTTGCTTCTTTCTTCATTTAAGGAGCCGCGTGAAACCAGTGGAATATAGTCAGATGTATAGTTACAGCTACAACCAGTATTATCAGCAGTACCAGAACTACTATGCCCAGTGGGGCTATGACCAGAACACAGGCAGCTACAGCTACAGCTACCCCCAGTATGGCTACACACAGAGCACCATGCAGGTAACTATGGTTCGGCAGACCTGGTCCTCTTGGGTATGTCGTCCTCCAGGGATTGGTAAGGGTGGCAGCTTGGACTTTAGAAAATATGGGAAAGAGGCAGCAACCGAGTTCCTCTTGTTAAAAATAAGGCCTCCCAGGGGCGCCTGGGTGGCTCAGTCGGTTGAGCGTCCGACTTCGGCTCAGGTCATGATCTCACGGTTTGTGAGTTCGAGCCCCACGTTGGGCTCTGTGCTGACAGCTCGGAGCCTGGAGCCTGCTTCAGATTCTGTGTCTCCTCTCTCTGCCCCTCCCCACTTGTGCTCTGTCTCTCTCTGTCTTGAAAATAAATAAATAAATGTTAAAGGGAAAAAAAAAAGGCCTCCTGGCCTTGGGCCAGGAGTTCACGCTGCTTCTCATCCCCTCTCTGGTCTCTTGGCAGACATACGAAGAAGTCGGGGACGACGCACTGGAAGGTAAGAAAGGAGTTTGTTCACCCCTTCCTCTGTCCTCTGTCAGCTGTTGCCGGGTGACCGCCCTGTGGCTGGCACTGTGCCTGTAGCTAGATGCTGAGGAGGGCGATGTGGAGTGTGCTCTTGAGGAGAATGACTTTTAGTGAGAGAACTAGTGCTTGCTAATTAGAGTAAGAACTGAGTGTGTCCCCCAGCGGTGTCTGTGCAGGTCCCAGAGAGCCCGGAGGGAGCAGCTCAACAGGAGAGAGAGCTGGTCACTCCCTAGATGTGGGCCATTCGGTCCCCAGATGCAGTTCTCCAGCAAAACTATTGCCTTGTATTTGTTTGATAATTTGTAAAATTCATTTTTTATTTCATGTTTTAATTTTTCTATATATTTCACATTACATTTTTTCCTCATTTTTTTTTAAGTTTATTTATTTATTTACATAATCTCTACCCCCAACATGGGGCTCGAACTCACGACCCTGTTATCAGGAGTTGCACACTCCACTGACTGAGCCACAAGGCACCCCTCTCATTTTCAAGTAATAGTTACTTACCATTGAAAATTTGGAAACTATAGTAACATGTTGATGAAGAAACTGAAAATCACCCCCATTTGCGACATAGTAATAGCCATTATTATTTTTTAATTAAAAGCATTTATTGGGGCACCTGGGTGTCTCAGTCACTTAAGCATGACTTCGGCTCGGGTCATGATCTCGTGGCTCCCGGGTTCAAGCCCCGCATCGCACTCTGTGCTGACGGCTCAGAGCTTGGAGCCTGCTTCGGATTCTGTGTCTCCCTCTCTCACTGCCCCTCCCCTGTTCACACTCTTTCTCTCAAAAATTAATAAACATTAAAAAAAAAAGCATTTATTGTAATTTTTACTGAATTTAACAAGAAAAAGGAAAGTAAAACTGAAGGAATTGCTAACCTGCAAAACTTTCCAAGGGAAATATTAGTAATTAAAGGATTCTCTAAGGCTTGAAAAAACTATGAAAAAAAGTTTTTCAACATGTTTCCGAACAGATGTTAAGGTTTTTTTTTTTTTTTTTAAGTTTATTTATTTATTTTGAGAGAGACAGACACAGTTCGAGTGGGGGAGGAGCAGAGAGAGAAGGAGAGAGAGAGAATACGAAGCCACGAGAGAACACCGACTGAGCCACCCAGGCACCCCTAAACAGATGTTGAGTTTTAAAGAAGTAAAACTCTTCTGGGTGGCTCAGTTGGTTAAGCGTCCAACTTCTGCTCAGGTCATGATCTTGCGGTTCCCAGGTTTGAGCTCATACTCTGTTTCTCTCTGTCTCTCAAAAATAAATGAATGTTAAAAAAAAAAAAGTATACAGTCCAATATATTTTTTTAAAGTTGTATTCGTTTACTTAAAGCACAAGTGGGGGTTGGGGTGGGCAGTAGTCACAAAGTTGTGCTATCGTTACCACTAATTCCAAAAGAAACTCTGCGGCCATTAGCAGTCACTCTCCATGTGCCGGCCCCCTCCAGTCCCTGCCAGCCACTCATCTACTTTCTGTCTGTTTGGATTTACCTATTCTGGGTTTTGTTGTTGTTGTTTTAATTTTTTTTAATTTAAATAAATTTAATTTTTTTAATTTACATCCAAGTCAGCATATAGTGCAACAGTGATATCAGGAGTAGAGTCCTTAGTGCCCCTTATCCATTTAGCCCATCCCCCCTCCCACAACCCCTCCAGTAACCCTCTGTTTGTTCTCCATATTTAGGGTCCCTTATATTTTGTTCCCCTCCCTGTTTTTAATTTTTTTTTCATGTTTTTATTTTATTTTGAGAGAGAGACACAGTGTGAGTGGGGAAGGGGCAGAGAGAGAAGGAGACAGAATCCGAAGCAAGCTTCAGGCTGTGAGCTGTCAGCACAGAGCCTAATGCGGGGCTTGAACTCACGGACTGTGAGATCATGACCTGAGCCGAAGCCGAACACCCAACCGACTGAGCCACCCAGGTGCCCCCCCACTCCCGTTTTTATATTATTTTTGCTTCCATTCCCTTGTGTTCATCTGTTCTGTGTCTTAAAGTCCTCATATGAGTGAAGTCATGTGATCTATGTCTTTCTCTAATTTTGCTTAGCATAGTACTGTCTAGTTCCATCCACGTAGTTCTGAATGGCAAGATTTCATTCTTTTTGATTGCCGAAAGGATACCTAATACTGTAGAGTATACATATATACCACATCTTTATCCTGCTCAATTTATGGACATTAGGGCCGCCTTTTTCATACTTTGGCTATTGTTGATAGTGCTGCTATAAACACGAGGGTGCGTATGCGTGTGTCCTTCAACAGCATACCTGTATCCTGAGGAATACAATTTCATAGGGGCACAATTTTGGTAGAATTTATTTTTTTTGAGGAACCTCCATACTGTTTTCTCCATACAGTGGTGGCTACAATTCAAGCCATATACCATCAGCAGGCAGTGCAAAAGAGATCCTTCTCTCTTCTCCTCACATCCTCACACACATCTTGTTGTTGTTGCCTCTGAGTTGTCTGTTATGCGTTAGCCATTCTGACAGGTGTGTGCAGGTGGTATCTCATTGTGGTTTTGATTTTGTATTTCCCTTGATGATCACAGTGTGTGACGTTTAGCATTTTTTCATGTGTCGGTTACACATCTGATACCTTTCTTTTGAGAAGTGTCTATTCATTTTTTTTTTTTTTTGGCTCTATTTCTTCACTGGATTGATGACGAGCTTTTTATGTTGAGCTGATGTTTTTTTATAGAGATTTTGTGGTTACTTCAGTTCTTTTTATCTGATATGTTGTTTGCAAATATCTTCCCCATTCTGTCAGTTGCCTTTAGTTTTGCTGGTTGTTTTGTTGTGCAGAAGCTTTCTTTTATTTGAGGGAGGTCCTAGTCTATTTCTTTTTGTTTTTGTTTCCTTTGGCCCTGGAGATGTGTGGGGTTTGAGGTTAGTGATTTGAAGCAGATCAGAGAGGTTTTTGGTCGTTTTCTCCTTGAGGATTCTGATGGATTCCTGTTCATATTTAGGTCTTTTCATCCATCTTGAGTTTATTTTTGTGTATGGGGTGAGAGTAGATTCATTTTTTCTGCATGTTGTTGTCCAGTTTTCTCCCAGCTCTACTTAAGGAAGAGGTTGTCTTATTCGTTGGATATTCTTTCCTGCTTTTGTCAAAGATTAGTTACTTAAGCATGCCAGGTCCATTTCTTAAGTTCTATTCTGTTCCACTGATCTGAGTGCTCCCTGTTCTTGTGCAATACATACTGTCTTGATAGATTACAGCTTTGTAATACAGCTTGAACCTTCTCTCTCTAAGAAATTTTTTTATTTTTTTTATTTTATTATTTTTATTTTCTTATTTTTATTTTTTTTATGTAACAGACTGTAGGCTTTTTTATTTTTTTTATTTTTTTTCAATATAGTGAAATTTATTGTCAAATTGGTTTCCATACAAATTGCCCAGTGCTCATCCCAAAGGTGCCTCCCTCAATACTCCATCACCCACCCTCCCTCCCCACCCCCATCAACCCTCATAGTTGAGTTCTCAGTTTTTTTAAGAGTTCTTATGCTTTGGCTCTTCCCAATTTAACCTCTTTTTTTTTCCTTCCTCCCCTGTTGGTTTCTGTTATTTCTCAGGATCCATTTAAGAGTGAAAACATGGTATCTGCCTTTCTGTATGGTTTATTTCACTTAGCATAACACTCTCCATCCATGTTGCTAGTGGGCCATATTTCATTCTTTTCTCACATACATAGAGGTACTCCAGCATTGTAAACCATTAATTTTTTAAGATGACTATCCATCAGTTGATGGACAGGCTCTTCCACATAATTTGGCTATTATTGAGAGTGCCAAGTATAAACATTGGGTACAAGTGCCCCTGTGCATCAGCAATTCTGTATCCCTTGTAAATTCTGCTTAGCAATGCTATTGCTGTATAGGGTAGGTCTATTTTTAATACTTTTTATGGAACCCCACACCATTTTCCAGAGTGGCTGCACCAATTTGCATTCCCACCAGCAGTGCAAGAGGGTTCTCGCCTCCTCCACATCCTTTCTTAACAAACAAAGGAGAATCAACAGCAACATGCAGAAGATTGAAACTAGACCACTTTCTCATACCATTCACAGAAGTCCAAATTTTTTTAAATGTTGATTCATTTTTGAGAGAGAGAGAGAGCATGAACAGGGGAGGGGCAGAGGGAGAGGGAGATATAGAATCTGAAGCAGGCTCCAGGCTCTGAGCCGTCAGCACAGAGCCCGATGCGGGGCTCGAACCCACAAACTGAGAGATCATGACCTGAGCTGAAGTCAGATGCTTAACAGACTAAGCCACCCAGGTGCCCCCCCTTTTTTTAATTGGGCTTCATGCCCAGTGTGGGGCTTGAACTCACAACCCTGAGATTAAGAGAGACGTGCTGTACCCACTGTGCCAGCACCCCAGGGCATTTTAAATAAATGGAATTGTGTATAATGTGTGGGCCTTTGTGAATGGCTTCTTTCACTTAGCATAGTGTTTTCAAGGTTTGTCCATGTTGTAGCATGTGCCATTATTTCATTTTTTATAGCCAAATGATATTCCATTGTGTAGATACCCATTCGTTTTGTTGATAGACATTTGGGTTCTTTCCACTTTTAGTATTATGAATATACTACTAAAAAACACTCATGTATAAGTTTTTGTATGGACAGGGAATTTCATTACCTAGGGATGAAATTGCTGGATCATATGGCAAACTCTATATTTAACCATTGGAGGAACTGCCAACTTTTCTGAAAAGGCTGCAGCATTTTCTGTTCTCACCAACAGCTTATGAGGCTTCCAGTTTCTCCACATCCTCACCAGTGATTGTTACTCTTTTTCATTACAGCCACACTGGTGAGTTTCAAGTGATATCTCTTTGTGGTTTTGGTTTGCACTTTCCTAATGGCTAATGCTTTGTGCATCTTTGTATGCTTATTGACTGTGTGTGTGTAGATCTTTGGAGAAATATCTAGTCAAGTCTTTGTCCATTTTTAAGTTGGGTTGTCTTTGTATGTAGCCTTGCCAGAGTTTTTCATATTCTGTTCTGGATTCCAGTTCCTTGTCAGACTTAAGATTTGCAAATTATCCCATTCCATGACTGTCTCTACTTTCTTGATAATGTCCTTGGAAGCACAAAAGTTAATTTCCATGAAGTTCAATTTATTTTTTTTTTGTTTGTGCCTAAATGCTGTTATCTAAAAGGCATTGTTTGTTTACACCTGTTTTCTTCTAAGAGTTTATAGTTTCAGCTCTTATATTTAGGTCTTTGATCCGTGTTTAGTTAATTCTTGTTTAAGTAAGTTCTTAATTCTTAAGAGTCTAGCTTTATTCTTTTGTCTGGTTATCCAGTTGTCCCAGCACCATTTGTTGAAAAACTATTCTTTACCATTCAGTGGTCTGCTACCCTTTTAGAAGACGAATTCACTATAAATGTACAGGTTGCATTTGGACTCTCAAATCTTATTCCATTGATCTATATGCTTATCTTTCAGCCACTGCCACAGTTGGGTTTTTTTTTTGTTTTTTTTTTTTTTTTTTTTTTTTTTTTTTTTTTTTTTTTTTTTGTTTTTTTTTTTACTACTGTTACTTTGTAGTAAGTTTTGAAGTGGCAAAGTCCTTGAACTTTCTTTTTCAAGATTGTTTTGGCTATTCTAGATCCTTTGCATTTTTTTTTAATTAAAAAAATTTTTAATGTTTATTTTTGAGAGAAAGAGCATGAGTGGGGGAGGGACAGTGAGAGGGGGAGACACAGAATCCAAAGCCGGCTCCAGGCTCCAGCTGTCAGCACAGATTCTGACCATGGGGCTTGAACTCATGAACTGTGAGATCATGACTTGAGTCGAAGTCGGACGCTTAACCGACTGAGCCACCCAAGTGTGCCTCCTTTGCATTTCCATCTAAATTTTATGAGCCTCTCAATGTCTGCAAAACAAGGCAGCTGATTTTTATAGGGATTACACTGAACAATTTGGGGAGTATTGCTGTCTAAAAACAATATTGTGTCCCAGTCCAAGTACATGGGATGTCTATTTACTTAGGTCTTCTTTAATGTCTCTAATTGTAAAATAAGTGTTGTAATGAATGTGTGTTTGTGTATGTGCATTTTATTGTACTTGTGTGTGTGTGTGTGTGTGTGTGTGTGTGTGTGCGCCTTTTAAACCAACACAAGATGGCAAGGAAAAGTATAAAATGTTACCAGTCATAGTGACTAAGGAATTTTTTGTAACTTCTTTTATTACAGAAAAGTATGTAAAACAAGCATATAGTTTAATATGTTAATTATAAAGCAATTGCTTGTGAAACCTTTATTCAGGGCAATAAAACATTGCCAGCCTCCAGAAACTATCCTTCCCCTAATCACAACCCTGCTAGGGGAAACTACTGTATTTTCTCTTTATAATCACCTAGATATGCATCCTTAAATAATATGGTTTAGTTTTGACTGTTTTTAACTTCATGTAATGCAGCTGTACTATAGATATGTCTTCCTTTTTTCATTCAACACTATTTTTTTTGACAATTTAAACCTTTTTTAAAGTTTATTTTGAGAGAGTGTGAGTGGGGGAGGGGTAGAGAAAGAGGGAGAACCCCCAAACAGGCTCCCCACTGCCAGCAGAGAGTGCAACGCAGGGCTCAAATCCACAAACCATGAGATCATGCCCTGAGCCAAAATCAGGAGTTGGACACCCAACCGAGCCATCCAGCCACCCCATAAACTCTTTATTTTTTAATGTTTATTATTTTGAGAGAAAAAGCATGAGCCTGGGGAGGGGCACAGAGAGAGGAGGAAAGAGAGAATCCTAAGCAGGCTCCACACTGTCAGCACAGAGCCCGACGCGGAGCTTAAACCCATGAACTGTGAGATCATGACATGAACTGATATCAAGAGTCAGATGCTTGGGGTGCTTGGGTGCTCAGTCAGTTGAGTATGACTTCAGCTCAGGTCATGATCTCACAGTTCTCGAGTGCTGACAGCTGAGTCTGGAGCCTGCTTCAGATTCTGTCTCCCCTTTCTCTCTGCCCCTCCCCCGCTCACGCTTTCTCATAGATTTTTTTTTTTTTAATTAAAAAAAAAAGATGCTTTAACCGACTGAGCCACCGAGACACCCCTCGCCTTTTTTTTAATGAAATTCCAGTATGGTTAGCAGTGTTATTAGTTTCAGGTGTACAGTGTAGTGATTTCAACAATTCTGTATAATCCTCAGTGCTCATTGTTGTAAATGTACTAACAGAGTTACCGTTTGTGAGATCCAGTCAAGTTGTATGCAGCTGAGGTTCATTTTCACGGCTGTGTAATGTTCCCTTTTAACAACAGTGCTTTGGATTTAGTAATTTTGATCAGATTTCCAGAACCCAAAATTGAAATAAAGACCACTCCAGGAAAGCCAGCGCACAGGAAGGCCAGATGTAAGAGGAGGAATAACAGCCGCCATTATCTGAGTACTGACTACATGTTCCATTCTCTAAGTAGGTTCTATTTTCATCCTCAGAGGAAGCCTGCAAGACAGTGGTATCCACCCCTGTGAGGCATGAGGGACTCTGACCGAGGGTAGGGAACTTCCTGAGGAAGGAGGAAGTCCTGGCAGTTGGGAACAGAGTCCAAGTCTCCCAGAGCTTCTCTTGGCGCTCGGAACCCACCCTTGCTTTTCTTGCAGACCCCATGCCGCAGTTGGATGTGACGGAGGCCAACAAGGAGTTCATGGAGCAGAGTGAGGAGCTGTATGATGCACTGATGGACTGTCACTGGCAGCCCCTGGACACAGTCTCTTCAGAGATCCCTGCCATGATGTAGTCAGGACAAAGGACAAACAAACGGACTGTGTGATGGAGATAAGAGACTCCTTTTTAACAAAAGTATTGGAAGAACTTTTACCTTTTTGGAAACGTTTTGTAAGATTTTAGTAACCAACTATTCTGACTGTTCTTGCACCACCACTCCCTTCGACAGCCTTTTGAGTCTGAAAACCAAGGTGCCGTTAAACAAGGTTTTCCAATTTGTCTTTGAACAATTGTTCCAGGTAGGGTTATGTACACTCTTGGAGAGAAGAATTTGGAGTCATTAATGAAGTGGAGCGTATGATTTATTCAACCCAGGAGCCCTTTTCCGGTGACACTATATCCTTACCCCCTGTGAAGTCAGAATGCATGAATTACCTGCTGTTATGCCAAATGATGGGCAATGTTGATCTTCCATTTCAAGTACCCTTTGTCCCCATCCCCCACGCTTAAGTTTGGTGGCTAGGGCAGACTGAAGTTCCTTAGACATTCCAGCTGGGAAAGAAGCTGTGTGGCCTATGTGGTAGGAAGTCATGGAGCCAGCTACATCTAGACCAAAAGGCTCAAGAGTTAGGGCATGCTCCAAGGGCAGGTCTGACTTTGAGGTAAGCCATGGTTGAACATGACATGGTTGAACACTGACATCTGTGTGCCTAGCTGGTTTCTTTCTTTTTTTTAACTTTCTATATATTTTTAATAATTTACATCCACCTGGCCTGTTTCTTGACCTTAATTTCATTTAGTAGATGTGAGTCCTCTTACACAGATCTCCAGCACCCATGTGGAAGTCTGGTTTTATACTAAAAATCTCCCATTTTGTTCCTACTTTTCTGTTAGTGGCTCAGTTGGTTTTGGTTTGAAAGTCTAACTCTTGGTTTTGACTCATGGGATCGAGCCCTGAGCCCTGCACTGGGCTCCGTGGAGCCGAAGATTCTCTCCCTCTAATAAACATTTTTTTAAGGAACACCAGTCTTAGGCTCAGCCTGAATTTTCAGGCTTACTGAAGGAGACATTTATATAAATGGGAAGTTACAGAACTCATCATATTATCCTTTAATTAAAAAAAGGATAAAAAATAAAAATAGTTTAACACTGTAATGGGGAATAACCAGCAGCCTGAAGGACATCAAGAATATGGACACAAGCATACTTTAAGTCTTTTATTGGTCACTTACATACCACATGCCAGCATTAGCAGAAATACAGAGGTCATGGTTTTCCACCAAAAATAACCTGTTGTCTTTTAGCTTGCCTCTTCCCATAAGGTCTGTCTCCTGAAAAGGAAGTGTATGCCAGTGTGTTAATATTCCCCCAATTAATTAATGCCACCCAGACATTTTTCCCAAACTGGTCTCAGTCCCATATCCGCATTTATCATCCATAGATGTCCACTCAGATTAGGTTTCATCCTGGACCAGTCAGCCTAACAAAACATACCCTGAACTAGATGAACTACTTGTTTCTACCCAAGCACTTCCAGGAAAGGGGCCAGTACGATCCCACGGTTTGAGGTTTCCCCAAACCTCAGAGCAGGAGCTCAAACCACGACTGCACATTCAAAGCAATCAGCCTTTGCTGCTGAAGGTGCAGGGCTTTGGCATCTGGTACTTTCTACTCACAGCACATTGTGCTCTTCCTGGCCTTCCAACAGGATAGGCAAATCTAACAGACCAAATCACACCAAACATTTTTCTCTTCTGGCCATGAACAGCTAATAGGTGTAAGTGATGTAGTATTAAAAAGCTAAGACTTTCTTTCATACAGGCCTAGGCTGCCTCATGATTCACTACACTACTTAGGGTTTACAACACTCCACTGCTTGGCGCTGCAAGGAAGCTACAGTGAAGTTTAGGTAGCCAACTTACCCAACTATAGATCCATAATCACAGATAAGGACAGCTTTACTGGTAACAGATCTTTAAAAAAAAACAAAAAACAGGACACTCTCAACCAAGAGGCAAGAAGGACATTCATGTTGATCAAATTCAGAAGTATTAAGTCAGCCATCACTACAACTGCCCAGACCTTCACCTATATCCTCCCTTTAAGCCTAAGATTATCCCATTTTACAGGGGAGGAGGAGATCAAAGAGAATTCAAATCTTGTTTGAAACTAGCCTCCAAGCTATATACCAGACGATAAGCACTGGGAGGCTAGTTTCAGTGTTCTTTTTCCTCCTTTTACGACCACCAAGACCAGTGTTCAGATCTGATGGGAAAGGGAACCGGAGGGTCAGGATGTCTTCAACATCTAACTTTACCTTATCTAAAGCACAGCAACAACCTGGTAACTTCAGATTCTTCAGTAGCAGATACTGCCAGGACACCTGGGGGGCAACCTGCAGAAAAAAGGGTGAAAGCTCTAAACGAAAAAGTTGATCGAAACACCCATCTACCATCTACGTGGTAGTTTATGGAAAACACCCGGACTCACTTAGAAGGCTTCCAGCCCAGGTCCCAAGCCGTTTATAGGAAAGGCGAGTGGCAGCTGCAGGTATTATGCTGACCTGTGCTGTCAAAGTCTCTCCAGGTTGCTCTCGCATGCAGTTGGAGATCCCATGGCCACAACCGGCCACAGCCCTTGGAAACATGCTGTACTGACCCTCCAGGCAGTTCCCAGAAACCTACCGGGTCCTGAGATGGTTGTGTTCCATCACAGTCATGACCACAGAATCCTCACCAGAAAGCTCAACCTCAGAGTCCTCCTGGAATCTTCATCTGGCACAACTAAGACGAGAACACAGTTGTCCTGAATGACATTGTTCCCTTCTGGTCTTGAGAATCAAAATGTTTGACTGGCTTTTGACCCTGGTACTTATGCCTTAAGCTTTTCAGGGCAGTGACCCAAAGCACTGTTAAGATCTGTGCCACTTGCCACTGGATTTTCCCAGCACACATGTCCAACCCATTCCCACTGCCTGCCCCTCCATACTTGTTCTTCATCTCAGCAATCTACTTCTCAGAAGTTTTATTCTAGCAACTCTATGCAAGACCCATCAACAGAGCATTTCTGTTGGCCTCTGGAAACCTGTCTATTGTAATAAAGGATTCCACGTATACCGGAGAAATGGCAGGTACCATGGGAATTGTCTTTTCCTGATATGTTGCAGATCAGTTACAGCAAACAGAACGGCGACCGTCAAGGAAAACTGTCACTCTGGGCTCCTTTTTGACCACAGCAGCTATGTGGAAGCAGCTGCAGCTTCGATAAGGGCCACAGGGCAATTTAGGTCTCAGGACCGCCACAAATGCTGTCCAACCCTCAGACTCCCCTAAATCCTGTGCACTATTGCATAACTGAAATTCACCTACCGAGACATGCTGGAGACCAAATAAGAGAACAGATATCCTACTACCAGGTCCCAACTTCCTCTTCATTTTTGTTATGTACCAGTGTTTTGTCTCATTTAATCTTTACAGGACCATTTTATCATCCGTTTTACGGACAGGTTTAAATTAAGCTATTTACTGAAAGTCGCCAGTGTAGAAAAGCCACAGAACTGGAATTTAAAATAGGTTCTAAAGGACTCGAACTCCAAAAATCCCTTTTTATCCACCTGCATGAATTCCTTAACATGTCCTGCAGCCAGATAACAGGTAAAGTCACTTCCCCAAGGTCGCCCAATAAGTAGCTGTAATGGGCCGTTTCCGATCCCGCTGACACCACCACGCGGCGTCTCCCTAGTTAGGCCACTACAGGCCCAAGACTGCCCTGCACCCCGCTGCCTGGCCGCGTTACTCACCCGTCACAGCGCGGGCCGAGGCGGGAGCAGGCGCGGCCCTCTCGGGGTCCGGCCCCTCTCATCGCGCATGCGGCCGACCAGGCCTTCTGGACCTCGGTCCCAGCAGGCCGGGAGGCCCGGCAACTGAGAGCCGCGCTCAACATCCCTCAGCCTCAGGAGGCAGCCCGGGCGAGTGAGGGGCCGGTGGCGGCCAAGCTGCGGTAGGGTAAGTGGAAGAATGCGCGTGACTTGCAGCAGATCTGAGACAGCGGCGCACGAAACTACACCCGCACGGCGGCTGGCAAAAGGGACGTCGGAGCGTTGGGAGAGGGCTTTTATAGGCCTCGCCCTTGGCAGCCGCGCCCGACCACTGCGGCAACGCGCCCGCGCAGACCTCTGGGAGTTGTAGTCCGTCTGCCCTCAGGCGCCGGGAGGCGCGTCAGGCCCTGAGTTCTAAGCGCGTGCGAAGTCGCTGCCGTCTTGCCGGGAAGAGAGCAGCCTTCCGCCCGTGTTCCGCACTCGCTGAACATCTGGGACTCAGCACTGGGCTCACAAATGAAGCCGACTCGCTATCCCCGCTGGAGCTCAGACATCCAAAGTCGGGAAATGACGCGGTGAGCTGCGTCAGGGCTCCGCTCCGACCGCGGCTGGCCGACCGAGGAGCAGCCACCGGATGGGTGTGGAGAGGCGCTCTGCGAGCTCTTCTGGGGGCGTGGCCCTTTGGGAGGGTTTATCAGCAAGGAAGACGCGACCGACTTACTCAGAAGATGAATGCATTATTTGTTCATTTTCAGCTAATAGATAAGTAACTTTGCCGAGCACTTACTCAGATTATGCTCGATTATCTCAACTAGTTTCCCCAACAACCCTGTGTGTAGGTTTGTAGTTACGCCCTTTTTACAGATCAGAAAACTGAGGGATGCATCACCCAGGTAACTGAGGGAAGGGCCTGAATCCACGAGTCCACGGCAGAGACCACGCTCAGAATCGCTGTGCCATGTACATGTTTTGTCCATGGAATGAATAAACGTCAATGTAAAAACAAGAAGTTGTCAAGAGTTAAATACGTGTTCTGTGCTTACTCTATTCGTTAATTTTTATCCTTAATATACTCATTAAAAAGGAGGTACTACTATTCTCATTTAATAGAGAAAACAACAGACTGTAAGGAGGCAAGAAACTTCCTGGTGACTTCCAAATGAGTTTCTCCAGCCTTACTTTTCTGAGCTCCAGACCTTATATCCTGCAGCGTCCCCGAACTTCTACACTTGGCTATCTAATAAATAGGCTTCTCAGAACGTAGACTTTCCTCCTTCACACCTGCTCTTCCCAATCTCAGCAAATCCTTGGAGTGATCCTGGACTCCTCTTTCTCTATCATCCCACTTACAATCCATCAGCAAATCCTACATTCTC